GAGATTGGAGAGTCCGACCCAGGGTCCTCAGGTTCTGCTTCCTCATGGGAAGACATGTCGGTAGGATTCAGGAGGTCTTTTTTCAACTAGCTAAAGTCTAAGTTACAGGCTGACTTCAGGTCTGGTTTAGATCATTGTTACTTATAAATTATATATTTTTCTGGTATAAATCTGCTGTTTTACATGATTGTTGAATGAAATGAACATAATTATTAATTTATTGTAAAAACATGACAGATAGTCTGTGAAACAGATCCAGTTCAGCTTGTTGTTTATCAGTCTCTATGAAGGCTGTGAGCTGTTGTCCTGTTTGGTCCGTTTCTGGTCCTCCATGCTGTCACAGACGCTACCAGTGGACTGTATGGGCGGGGCTCAGTCTAGTGATCTTATTCAAGTCTATGGTGAGTATTCAACTTAAACATACCTCCAGCAAACTTTTTCCCAGCACTTCCCTAGCGTCTCGCGACTGTCAGTCACTTCCAGTTAATATAGCACACTGATTCGCCGCCCACTGTCACATGTCAATGTGATGTGGCAACTAAACAGCGTCAGATGCAAAAGTGAGCTTTTCTTTTATAATGGGAGGAAACTTTAAGTAACATTTTTCTTTATTCTACCCAGGTTACACAAGGGTGGTGGTTTCCTTCTTGAAAAAGGGGACTGGAGGGTGTTTTATATACGTAAGAATKAAACTCCTTAGAAAGTTCTATTCAGTGGTGCTGAGAGGAGCATCTGACAGATGGTTGAACCCTAGGATCAGAAGGAACAATGCAGGTTCCATTCCTGTTGTGCAACTTTGGACCAGCTCTTTATCTTCACTAGGAAAGGAAAGTGCTCAAACATTGCATTTGTCTTCAACTTCTCACTTCCAGAATCCAACTGTTTTACCCTGAAGTAGACTTTTATAAATTAAAACGTCCAAAAACCCATGGATGGAGGTAAAACAGACAGAGGACTCTGTCCACCAAAGACTGTGGAACTTTAACTTGACAMATTTGTGAACAAATAACGTTGTGTATAGTCCCCCCCTCCCCCAAAGTGCATACTTCAGCAGGGAGAAACCCCATGCAGTGATGTATCTTGCAGTGGGAGACATTTCCCATGAGCTCTGTGTGCCTCACAGGGTCTATGAAAGGTGTGAGAAAATGAATGTCAAACAACCATGGGACTATGCATCGTCCTMTTGGATGCTGATTGATCATACTGTGTGCTTTATTGATAGGGTGAGAAGTGTAGTTCTCCAGGAGACTCAGTGTTGAACCAATATGGCTCCACATTCAGAGGAACCAGCTGATGTGGTTCATTTGGTAAGGCTGTCTCCTGGATGCCTCCTTAGGGAGGTGTTCTGGACATGTCCAAATGGAAGAGACCATGTCTCTTGGCTCATCTGAGAATATCTTGGAATCCTCCAGGAAGAGCTGGATTGGATTCTACAGAACATTCAGAAATATTTGCCACAGTTTAAAGTTTTTATTATACTCACTCTCCAGGTTTCCAGCCAGCAGGTAGAGCCAGGTGAAAAGGATGATAGCGGAAAGAGGAACCACCAGTAGCTTTAAACGGCCGCGGCACAGCAGGTGCATGATGGTACAGTGGCACTGTTGGCTCTGTGTTGGGTGTGGGATAGGGGATGAAGAGAAGAGCAGTTCAGTTCAGGTAGGGCTCAGTCCCTCTTCAGTATCCTGCAGCATCTTTTCATCTGAGGAAACAGGAGATTTATGAATGAACCCATGTTCTTATAATTTAAATGATAACATAGCAAAAATCTCCATTCATCTATTTAGTTTGTCATACTATTTAATTTTAGTCCTATTGTATAGTCATCTCTTTACAGACATTCACATAGTGAACATTACAAAATGTGATTTAGTTAAAGTTCTCTGTCTGAGGAAGCACCATGTTGTGTTCAGACTGAATATGAAAAACAATTAACTTTGTTGCCTGAACCAGCTTAATTTAAATCCTCCTCTGTATTTAATATTTTATTTTTACCATGTGAATGAAAAAAAATCTCTTTAATTAGACAGAAGCCCATAAGAAAACAGAGAGTTACCAAGAGGAAGCACCTGGTTTAAAAACAATCTCTGAGCTGAATGGAGAGAACTTACTGCAAGTAAGAACCAAACATTGATAAATGTTCAAAGTGTCATTGATAATAGTAATGTTAGGGTTTTGTTTTAAAACTCTATTTGTCTATCTGACATCCCAAACATGAGCAGAACCATCCCAGACTCAGTGGTCAATCTGTAAAATATCTCATGTCACAAAGATGTTAACAGATTTACAGAGGAAAAGATTCAGATCAAACTAAGAACAGTGACAAAGTCGTGTCGTGTCGTGTGTGTGTGTGTGTGTGTGTGTGTGTGTGTGTGTGTGTGTGTGGTGTGTGTGTGTGTGTGTGTGTGTGTG